GCTTCCTCAAGGAGAACCTGCTGCTGCTCAGCTGAGGGACAGAAATCATGGAGCAGCTGCCCCTGCCCACCAGCCTCAAGGACAACCTGCTGCTGCTGCTCAGCTGAGGGACACAAATCCTGCAGCAGTTGCTCCTGCCCACCAGCCTCAAGGAGAACGTGCTGCTCCTGAGCTGAGTGAAAACCTTGGAGCAAAATACTCAAGGAGTACCTGCTGCTGCTCAGCTGAGGAAGAACCTTGGGGCAGCTTCCTTGAGGAGAACGTGCTGTCCCTCAGCTCAGTGAAAACCTTGGAGCAGTTTCCTCGAGGAGAACGTGCTGCTGCTCAGCTGAGGGAGAACCTTGAGGCAGCTTCCTTGAGGAGAATGTGCTGCTGCTCAGCTGAGGGAGAACCTTGGGGCAGCTTCCTCAAGGAGAACGTGCTGCTGCTCAGCTGAGGGACAGAAATCCTGGAGCAGCTGCCCCTGCCCACCAGCCTCAAGGAGAACCTGCTGCTGCTGAGCTGAGGGACACAAATCCTGGAGCAGCTTCCTCAAGGAGTATCTGCTGCTGCTGAGCTGAGGGAGAACCTTGGGGCAGCTTCCTTGAGGAGAATGTGCTGCTGCTCAGCTGAGTGAAAACCTTGGAGCAGCTGCCCTGGAGGAACTGCTGTCCCTCAGCTCAGTGAAAACCTTGGAGCAGCTGCCTTTGCTCACCTGCCACAAGAAGAACCTGCTGCTCCTCAGCTCAGTAAAACCACGGAACAACTGCCCAGGAGAGTGTGCTGCTCCTCAGCTGAGGAAAAACCTTGGAGCAGCCTCCTCAAGGAGTGTTTTCTGCTCCTCAGCTGAGCAAAAACCTTGGAGCAACTTCCTTAAGGAGTGTTTTCTGCTCCTCAGCTGAGCAAAAACCTTGGAGCAGCTTCCTCAAGGAGTATTTTCTTCTCCTCAGCTGAGTGAAAACCTTGGAGCAGCTTCCTCAGGGAGTATTTTCTGCTCCTCAGCCGAGCAACAAAAACTCTGGAGCAGCTTCCCAGGAGAAACTGCTGCTCCTCAGCTGAGTTCCCTCCTGGAACCAGCAGTGCTCCTCCTATGGCAAATTATATCCCGGCTCCTGCATTAACGTGGCCTCTCCTTCCCGTTTTTTATCCGCCCTGGGGGGAAAAGAAGGATTTCCAGGGGTGGAGAGGACATGGAAACTCCTTCTGGGGAGGTAGGATATGAAGAGAAGGTCCTGTGGGACCCAGAGAAGTTCCAGGCTGGAATTCCGTGAGCTGGAATCGCAGGCAGGGAGCCAGAGAAGCTCCAGGCTGGAATTCCATGAGCTGGAATCGCCGGCAGGGACCAGGCTGGAATTCCATGAACTGGAATCGCAGGCAGGGAGCCAGAGAAGCTCCAGGCTGGAATTCCATGAGCTGGAATCACAGGCACAGAGCCAGAGAAGCTCCAGGCTGGAATTCTCTGAGCTGGAATTGCAGGCACAGAGCCAGAGAAGCTCCAGGCTGGAATTCTCTGAGCTGGAATCGCAGGCACGGAGCCAGAGAAGTTCCAGGCTGGAATTCCATGAGCTGGAATCGCAGGCACGGAGCCAGAGAAGTTCCAGGCTGGAATTCCGTGAGCTGGAATTGCAGGCAGGGAGCCAGAGAAGTTCCAGGCTGGAATTCCATGAGCTGGAATCGCAGACACGGAGCCAGAGAAGTTCCAGGCTGGAATTCCATGAGCTGGAATCCCGGGCACAGCCCTGGCACGTCACAGCCAGGGCGGGGGGTCTGCAGCTCTCTCCAACCTGGAGAAGTGCAGTTTTCCTTCGTTATCCATGATTTTTGGGATTCTGAAGTGGATGCAGGGGGGGAGGACACCCCTCAAGTTATTCCCAAGAGCAGAGGAGATGTTTCTCCCCCTCTGGAATGGCCCAGTTGGAGCACGAGGTGCTCCGTGCCCCAGAGCTGGGGGTTCCCATCCCATCTGTGATCCCACGGGATCACCCACCTCTCTGAGCTGGAGCCTCCCCTTCCCACCCTTTTCTCCCTCTTTGGGGTGTTTGTGGTTTTGGGATCCCCTGGAGGAGCTGCTTTTTGCTCTCCAAGGGGAAACCAACAGTGGGAGAGGCTCGGGGAAGGAAAATCCGACTCTGGATCGTGTTCCTGGCTGTCGGGGTGGGGCTGCTTTTGCCTCCCCCAGGGAATGATTCCCGAGGGGCTGGAGCACAATTTAGGGAGGAGTTTATTGAAACATCCCAATTCCAGGGGGTTTCCCACCAAAGTGGTGCCCTCCTGCAACACCCACAGGACCCCTTTTCCCTCCCAAAAGCCCCTAAAACGCCCCTAAAAAGCTGACCCCGAGGGTCCTGCTTTCCAGAGGGTTCCAGAGGCTCCAGGGGGTGGCACAGGGAGACAGGGGGGGCTGTCACATAATTTAGGGAAGAGTTTATTGGAGCATCTCAATTCCAGAGGCTTTCCCACCAAAGTGGTGCCTGCCCTGCCCACCAACACCCACAGGATCCCTTTTCCCTCCCAAAAGCCCCTAAAACGCCCCCAAAAAGCCAACCCCCTTTCCAGAGGGTTCCAGAGGCTCCTGGGGCTGTCACACAATTTAGGGGGGAGTTTATTGAAACATCCCAATTCCAAAGGGTTTCCCACCAAAGTGGTACCCTCCTACAAAATCTGCAGGATCCCTCTGCCCTCCCCAAAGCCCCTAAAACGCCCCCAAAAAGCCGACCCCGAGGGTCCCACTTTCCAGAGGGTTCCAGAGGCTCCAGGACTGTCACACAATTTAGGGGGGAGTTTATTGAAGAATCCCAATTCCAGGGGGTTTCCCACCAAAGTGGTGCCCACCCTGCCCACCTGCAACACCCACAGGACCCCTTTTCCCTCCTAAAATGCCCCCAAAAAGCCGACCCCGAGGGTCCTGCTTTCCAGAGGGTTCCAGAGGCTCCGGGGGGTGGCACAGGGACAGGAGGAGCTGTCACACAATTTAGGGGGGAGTTTATTGAAGAATCCCAATTCTGGGGCGGTTCCCACCAAAGTGGTGCCTGCCCTGCCCACCAACACCCACAGGACCCCTTTTCCTTCCCAAAAGCCCCTAAAACGCCCCCAAAAAGCCGACCCTGAGGGTCCTGCTTTCCAGAGGGTTCCAGAGGTTCCAGGACTGTCACACAATTTAGGAGGGAGTTTATTGAAGCATCCCAATTCCAAAGGGTTTCCCACCAAAGTGGTGCCCTCCTACAAAATCTGCAGGATCCCTCTGCCCTCCCAAAAGCCCCTAAAACGCCCCCAAAAAGCCGACCCCGAGGGTCCCGCTTTCCAGAGGGTTCCAGAGGCTCCGGGGGGTGGCACAGGGCCACGGGGGGTGTCACACGATGGCCTCGGGGACGGGGATCTTGCGGCTCAGGTGCTCCAGGTGGGCCGTGTCCGAGGTGTCCAGCTCCGTGTGGTACTTGGCCAGGATCTTCAGGATGGGCCGGAGCTTCAGCCACCACTGCTCCTTGGGGATGCGGTGCCTGGGGGGGGGACACACACGGGGGGTGATTCCAGGGCGGGAGGGACACCCTGAGGAGCATCCCCAGCCTGGGGAGGGACAAGGGGGGGGCTCCTACTCATGCTCAACACCATCACCACCGGGA